CTGGGCTGGGCTGAGCTGGGCTGAGCTGAGCTGAACTGGGCTGGGCTGAGCTGAGCTGAGGTGAGCTGAGCTGGGCTGAGCTGGGCTGAGCTGGGCTGAGTGGGGCTGGGCTGGGCTGGGCTGGGCTGGGCTGAGCTGAGGTGGGTTGGGTTGAGCTGAGCTGAGCTGAGCTGGGCTGAGCTGGGCTGGGTTGGGTTGAGCTGAGCTGGGTTGGGTTGAGCTGAGCTGAGCTGAGCTGGGTTGGGCTGGGCTGTGCTGGGCTGACCTGGGCTGAGCTGAGCTGAGCTGAGCTAAACTGGGCTGTGCTGGGCTGAACTGGACTGAGCTGTGCTGGGCTGTGCTGGGCTGGGCTGAGCTGGGCTGAGCTGAATTGGTCCAGGCTGGGCTGAACAGAGCTGGGTTGAGCCAAACTAGGCTGAGCTGGGATGAACTGGGCTGAACTGGGCTGGGTTGAACAGAACTGGGTTGAGCTGGGCTGGACTGGGCTGAGTTGAACCAGGCTGACCTGGGCTGAGCCGAGCTGGGTTGAGCTGAACCGGGCTGGGCTGGGCTGCGATGAGCTGAGCTGAGCTGAGCTGAGCTGAGCTGAGCTGAGCTGAACTGAGCTGAGCTGAGCTGAGCTGAGCTGAACTGAGCTGGGCTGAGCTGAGCTGGTCCGAGCTGAGCTGGTCCGGGCTGGGCTGAGTTGAGCTGGGTTGAGCCAAGTTAGGCTGGGCTGAGCTGAGCTGAACTGAGCTGGGCTGAGCTGAGCTGGTCCGGGCTGGGCTGGACTGAGCTGGGCTGAGCTGGGCTGGGTTGAGCGGAGCTGGGCTGGGCTGAGTTGAGCCAGGTTGACCTGGGCTGACCTCAGTTGGGTTGAGCCGAGCCGGGTTGGGCTAGGCCGCGCTGAGCCAGGCTAGGTTGAGCTGGGCTGGGCTGGGCTAAGCTACGCTGCACTGAGCTGGGCTGAGCCGAGCTGGGTTGAGCGAGCTGGGCTGGGCTGAGCTGGGCTGGGCTGAGCTGGGCTGAACTGGGTTGAACTGTGCTGAGCTGGGCTGTGTTGAACTGTGCTTAACTGGGCTGGGCCATACTGGGCTTAGCTGGGCTGAGCTGAGATGGTCTTAGGTGGTCTGAGCTCAGCTAGGCTGGGCTGAGCTGGTCTGAGCTCATCTGAATTGGGTTGAGCTGAGCTTGGCTTTGCTGAGCTGGATTGAGCTAGCCTGGGCTGGGATGAACTGGAAGACATGGCACTGCGCCAGTCTTCATGATCTTGTCGGACACAGATGGATAGCCTCAGCTGAGTCTACACTGCTTTCCCCATCACATCCACCATCCCTATACTCACTCCCAGGCCTGGGTTGTCTGCCTGGGGAGACTTCAGGGTAGCTGGAGTGTGGCTGAGATGGGGGCAGCATAAGCTGGGTTGGAGGAACCCAGCTCTCTATTGGCTGCCTGCAGGGTGTGTGGCTCCAGGTTTCCCATTCAGGTATGCAACCTGGGCCCTCCAGCTGCATGTGCTGGGAGCTGAGTGTGTGCAGCACCTACCTGCTGCTGCCTCAGGGGAAAGCAGGCCTGGTCCACCCAAACCTGAGCCCTCAGCCATTCTGAGCAGGGAGCCAGGGGCAGGCAGGCCTCAGAGTGCAGCAGGGCAGCCAACTGAATGGTGGCAGGGGCGGCTCCACCTGCTCCAGGATACCCCAGGTCTGCCCAGGTGTTCAGCGCTGGGCCCGGCAGCAGGACGGGCTGAGGCCTGCAGCCCCGACAGCCTTGGACAAAGACCCGAGGCCTCGCCACGGCCCCACCACCCCTGTTAGCCGTGATAATCTGGGCTTTGGAGGCCTGCAGGTAGCCTTGGCTTTGGTGGGCAGCCACAGTGGGACACAAGTAGAGAGGGCCACTCAGAATGCCACTCAGCACCGACAGGCAGGGCACAAGGAGGCAGCTCCTCACCCCTCCCTTTCTCTTTTGTCCTGCGGGTCCTCAGGGAGTGCATCCGCCCCAACCCTTTTCCCCCTCGTCTCCTGTGAGAATGCCCCGTTGGATACGAACAAAGTGGCCGTTGGCTGCCTCGCACAGGACTTCCTTCCCGACTCCATCACTTTCTCCTGGAAATTCAAGAACAACTCTGACATCAGCAAAGATGTCTGGGGCTTCCCATCAGTCCTGAGAGAGGGCAAGTACGCGGCCACCTCGCAGGTGCTGCTGGCTTCCAAGGACGTCATGCAGGGCACAGACGAACACGTGGTATGCAAAGTCCAGCACCCCAATGGCAACAAAGAACAGAACGTGCCTCTTCCAGGTGAGGGCAGGGCCCACCCACCAGGGGCAGAGAGGGAGCCAAAGGGGGCGGGAGTGGCGGGCACCGGGCTGACACGTGTCCCTCACTGCAGTGGTTGTCGAGCAGCCTCCCAACGTGAGTGTCTTCGTCCCACCCCGAGACGGCTTCGTCGGCAACCCCCGCGAGTCCAAGCTCATCTGCCAGGCCACAGGTTTCAGCCCCCGGCAGATTGAGGTGTCCTGGCTGCGCGAGGGGAAGCAGGTGGGGTCTGGCATCACCACGGGCCAGGTGGAGGCTGAAGCCAAAGAGTCTGGGCCCACGACCTTCAAAGTGACCAGCACACTGACCATCAGCGAGAGAGACTGGCTCAGCCAGAGCGTGTTCACCTGCCGCGTGGATCACAGGGGCCTGACCTTCCAGAAGAACGTGTCCTCCGTGTGTGGCCCCAGTGAGTGACCTGTCCCCGAGGGCGGCACCCACCGACACACAGGGGTCCACCTGGGTCTGGCATTCACCACCCAGACGCAGCCATCTGCTCCCTGAGCCTTGGCTTCCCAGAGCGGCCAAGGGCAGGGGCTCGGCAGAGGCTGTTGCTACTCTTTGGGTGGGAACCACGCCTCCGCCCGCATCCACACCTGCCCCACCTCTGACTCCCTTCTCTTGACTTCAGATCCAGACATAGCCATCCGGGTCTTCGCCATCCCCCCATCCTTTGCCAGCATCTTCCTCACCAAGTCCACCAAGTTGACATGCCTGGTCACAGACCTGGCCACCTACGACAGTGTGACCATCTCCTGGACCCGCCAGAATGGCGAAACTCTGAAAACCCACACCAACATCTCCGAGAGCCACCCCAATGGCACCTTCAGCGCCGTGGGTGAGGCCAGCATCTGTGAGGACGACTGGAACTCCGGGGAGAGGTTCAGGTGCACCGTGACCCACACGGACCTGCCCTCGCCGCTGAAGCAGACCATCTACAGGCCCAAGGGTAGGCCCCACTCTTGCCCCTCTTCCTGCACTCCCTGGGACCCTCCCTTGGCCTCTGGGGCATGGTGGAGAGCACCCCTCACTCCCCCGTTGTCTGGGCAACTGGGGAAAAGGGGACTTGCCCCCAGCCCACAGGCCGGTCCCCTCACTGCCCCGCCCTCACCACCATCTCTTCTCACAGGGGTGCCCATGCACAGGCCCGATGTCTACTTGCTGCCACCAGCCCGGGAGCAGCTGAACCTGCGGGAGTCGGCCACCATCACCTGCCTGGTGACGGGCTTCTCTCCCGCGGACATCTTCGTGCAGTGGATGCAGAGGGGGCAGCCTTTGTCCCCGGAGAAGTATGTGACCAGTGCCCCAATGCCTGAGCCCCAGGCCCCAGGCCGGTACTTCGCCCACAGCATCCTGACCGTGTCTGAAGAGGACTGGAACACGGGGGAGACCTACACCTGCGTCGTGGCCCATGAGGCCCTGCCCAACAGGGTCACCGAGAGGACCGTGGACAAGTCCACCGGTAAACCCACCCTGTACAACGTGTCCCTCGTCATGTCCGACACAGCTGGCACCTGCTACTGACCCTGCTGGCCTGCCCACAGGCTCAGGGCGGCCGGCCGCTCTGTGTGTGTGCACGCAAACTAACCGTGTCAACGGGGTGAGATGTTGCATCTTATAAAATTAGAAATAAAAAGATCCATTCAAAAGATACTGGTCCTGAGTGCACAATGCTCTAGCCTGCTGGGGTGGTGGCTGTGCTGCACCCACTCTGCGCCTCCCCTACACACCACCTTCCTCCATAGCCTCCACCCCTGCCTCACCCACCTGCGTGCCACAGTGGCTTCTAGAAACCCCTGAACTCCCTGCAGCTGCTCACAGCAGGCTGACCTCAGACTTGCCATTCCTCCTACTGCTTCCAGGAAGAAAGCTGAAAGCAAGGCCACACGTATACAGGCAGCACACAGGCATGTGTGGACACACATGGACAGACACGGATACACACAGACACATGGACACACAGAGATGTGCTAACCCATGGGCACACACATACACAGACATGGACACACGCATACACAAACATACGTGGACACACATGTACAACCATGCACAGGCACACAAAGAGAACACTAACTACAGGCACACACACATGGACACATGGACGTATGCACACATGGACACATACATGTGCAGGACGTGTACACACACAGACACACTAGCACAGAGGCATACACACACAGACACACATCCACACACAGGTGCATGCACACACACACGCACAGACACAAGTACATGGACACGTGCACACACACAGACACACCGACACAGACACGCAGGATCACATGCATACACTAACACGTGGACACACGCATGTCTACCCACAGGCACATAACAGACGGACACGTGCACACAGACATGCACACACCCACAGATACAACATGTGCACATGCTGGCCAGCCTCCGCCCGCATTCTCCCGGTGCCCTGTCATACACTCTGTCCCTGCAGCAGTTTGCTCTCCGTGCTATGCTGGCCCCGGGGCTTTGGGCCCAGGCTCTGCTTGTCCTTCTGCCTCTGCTTGGAGGTGCTGCCGTGGCACCCAGCTTGGACTCTACCTGGGGAGCAGCGGCCCCAGGGATAGCATGTGAACCCTGCTGAGGCCAGGCTCTTGATGAAGGCAGTAGATAGCCCCACACCCACCGGTGAGCAGAACCAGGGCCTGTGCCATGTGCTGAGGGCAGGCAGTGACTAAGCATGGGCCCAGAGGGCAGGGTGGCTGCTCCGGCAGCTGCTCCTCTTACAGGAGGCCTCAGGAGATGAGCTGGAGCAGGTCTGCCCCTGCAAAGACCACCTGCTCCCCAGCCCACGGCAGGGAGCAGGCAAGGTCAGACAGCAGCAGCCCAGGAAGGACTGAGCCCAAGCAGGGAAGGCAGGGCCCAAGTGAGGTCTCCACACCCAACACACAGTGCTGTCCCTAACTGGGGAGTCCCCACCACACTCTTGGCCCTTTGGGGTCCTGGGCTCCAGGTGTCTCCAGGGGCCCATCTGTGCAGGGGATGCAGCCCCCCGAATGTCCTCATTCCACTGTGGAGCTCAGGTCTCCATCTGCCCCCTGGGTCCTGGCAGGGTAGGACAAGTCTGCCAGGATGTCCCCACGCAGACTCTGCTCCAAAAGGGAGCTGGAGAGTCAGGGCCTTGGTGAGGGGGTGAAGATCGGGCACCCCCCAGCTTAGTCCTCCCACCTGCCCACCCCCACAGCACAAGGGCAGGGCCACACCCCCTGCTTCCCCCTCCAGGAGAGTGAGGACATGCTGGCCGCCGCTCCGCTAGGGCCCCAACCTCCGGCCCCCGCCTGTGTCTGTGTGCTGCATCCCCCACGCTCTCTCCGCCACCCCAGGGCTCCTGGGAAGAGACCTCAGGGTCCCAGCCCTGCCCAGCCTCGGCCTGTGCCCCCGCTGCATCAGGCTTTCAGGGACCCAGCCCAGGCCCTGAACAGTGCCCAAGCCCCCCTGCACTTGCTCTCCCTGCCCCCGTCCCGGGTGCAGCACAGCCTAGGGGCCAAGGGTAGGCTTAGAGGATGGGCCCCAGGGGCAGGCTTTGCTGGGTGCCACCCCAGCCTGACCCTATTCCCCTGTGCTGTGTCTCCTGCAGAGGGGGAGGTGAGTGCTGACGAGGAGGGCTTTGAGAACCTGTGGGCCACTGCCTCCACCTTCATCGTCCTCTTCCTCTTGAGCCTCTTCTACAGTACCACTGTCACCTTGTTCAAGGTAGCACGGCTGTGGCACAGGGATGAGGGCACAGGGGGAGTGTGGGACCCGGGGAGCATGGAGCCCGGGGAGCAGCCTGGGCTGGACGTCTACCCCGGAGGCCCCCATACCACCCTGCTGGGTCACCTCTGCCCCAGCTCCCTTCCCAACCATGGGGAAAGCACTTCACCCTGTCTCTGTTGCCCGCAGGTGAAATGATCCCAACAGAAGAACATCGGAGACCAGAGACAGGAACTCAAAGGGGCGCTGCCTCCGGGTCTGGGGTCCCGGCCTGCGTGGCCTGTTGGCGCGTGTTTCTCTTCCCTGCCCGGCCTCCAGCTATGTGCTCTAACACAGGCTTCCTTCTAGAGAGGCAGGGGCGGGCTGGCGTGCGGACCACGACGGGGGCTCCACCCCACACCGCTTTGCTGTGTATACGCTTGTTGCCCTGAAATAAATATGCACATTTTATCCATGAAACTGCTTTCTCGTGAGGGTTTTTGTTTCTTTTTCAAAACTTTCATGCTTCTCAAGGGCATCTCAAAGGCAGCTGTGGAAAAGAGCGCTGGGTCAGCGCAGAGGGTTTCGAGGAAAGCCATGTGCCCAGGAAAGGGGCCGCAGGAGCAGGTGGTCCAGACTCAGACTCGGGGCATGCCCAGCCTGATGGAAGGAGGGCAACTGAGCAGGAGAGGACTCCAGGCCTGGTCCCCCAAGCACGGCCTGAATTGGGAGACTGGGGCTCAGGCCTCGGCGGCCTCTGTGTGTGCTCCACGAGCCTACAACTGCCCGGGTCACCTTGCCGCCATTCCTAGCAAGCCCAGATAGGTCTTGGCCTTGCCCCAAACCTTCGTGACGTCTGGTGCATGCCACCAGGATCCAGGAGGCATGGGCTGAGCCCTCGAGAGCAGGTGGCCCTGTCTGCACAGTGTGGGGGCCTCTTGCACCCCACAGAAGCACAGGGGTGGGTTGGCTGCAGCCACGCCCGTGGCAGGGGTGTGGAAGTTGGAGCAAAAATTTGGGGTGACGCAGTGTCTTACTCCAATTGGGCGACTATCACAAAACACTATCGGCTGGGAAGCTTGAGCAATAGACATTTGCCTCCCACAGCTCTGGAGGCTGGAAGTCTAAGATCAAGGCGCCGGCAACTTCAGCGTCTAGTGAAGGCCAGTTCCCGGCTCAGATACGCACCTTCTCACTGCATCCTCACGCGGCAGAAGTGGGTGAAGGAGCTCTAGGGGTCTCTTTCATACGGGCGCTAGGCCCATCACGAGGGCCTCATCATTTCCCAGATGCTCAGGCTCCCAATGTTATCCCCTTGTGGGTGAGGACTGGGGGGCATGACCGTGTGGTCCTTAGGAACCATTAGGGAATACATGGTGGAGAGGGTAAGTCTCCACCATCACCCTGAAGATGGGCAGGTGGTGGTCAGGCTTTGGGCAGTGCCAAAAAATGACTCCCCAGGTTGGTAGGAGCAGGATCAAAGAACAAGGGATTTTTTCAGAGATGGCAGCCAAGCAGAAGTTGGGGGCTCATGCCAGGAGGCTCACTTGGCTATGGTGCAGTCAGCCAGAGGTGACCCACAGTCCATGGCAAAGTCAAGGACAGCAGTGGTTGTGAGACCAGGCTGGAGTCAGGTGGTTGAGGGGAAAGGACCAGGCCGGAGGACTGGGCAGACCCCAAGGCCATAGAAGTGTCCTGGAGGAAGCATCCAGGATGGTGTCTTGGGAGGGCTCAAAAGCTGGGGGCCCAGAAGGAGGCCATTTCAGGTTCTGAGGAGCAGCCTGGCACTTGCTCTGAGCCAGCTGTCACAGACATCTGGGGCCTGCTGGGTACAACTTGTGTCCCTCCCACTGTGCTCTCCACAAGGACCTGGCTCGCCCTTGTGACCCTGCTGGATCCCCGAGTTGGCACCAGCCCTGCCCTCAGAGAGAATGTACAGGAGGCAGGTAGAGATGCACATGTGGGTCCCTGGGGAAATCCATCCTCCGGCCGTGGGCTCCCAGTTGGCTCCTAGCCTCCGGCTCCAGCTTCACCCCATATAGTTTACCATGGGCTCAACCTCCCATGCTGGGGGAGGACGGAGTGAGGGGTCCCACACTGCCCATGGCACACCCAGGGGGCTAGGGAGACTGCACTGGGCTCGGGCAGGGAGGCCTCGTGCAGGCCGTGGGGCTGGCAGCTCAGAACAACACCCATATCCATTAGCTGTGGCCCTGGCAACACGGCACCCCAGACTGCGTGGCTGAAACAACAGAAGTTTATTCCGTCCTGCTTCTGGAGGCCGGGCATCTGGGATGGAGGCCTCGGTGAGGCTGACTCCTGTGTGTCATGGGAGACTCTGTCCCAGGCTCTCTCCTGGCTGCTGGGCGTTGCCGGCCGTCTCTGCCGCTCCTGGCTTGTGGAAGCAGCGCCATCTTCACAGGGCGTTCTCCCCACGTGCTGTCTGTGCCCAGATTCCCCCTTTTGATGGGGACAGCAATGATATCAGATCAGAGGCTCACCCTACTCCACGGTGACCTCATCTGAACTTCATTGCACCTGCAAAGACTGTTTCCAAACAAGGTCACATTCTGAGGTCCTGGGGGTTAGGACTTCAATACATGAATTTATAGGGGAACACACTTTAACCCATGACACTTTGCCTCTGCTCCCCTCATAATCATGTCCTTCTCACATGTAAAACTTCTGAATCCCATAGCAGCATCTCCAAGATGGCTAACCCCTTCTAGTACCAACTCTTAGTCCACAATCTCAGCTAAATATCACCTGCATCAAGTGTGGGAGAAACCCAGGGTGAGATTCATTCTGAGGTGAAATTCCTCTCCATCTGTGGACCTTTGTAACTGGACAAGAAGCTACCTGCTTCCAAAGTGCAATGATGGGACAGGCATAGGATAGACATTCCCATTCTGAAATGTATACATCAAAAGGGAGTAATGAGCCATGGGTCCCAAGCAAGCCCAAAACCCAGCAGGGAAAATTGCATTAGATTTAAGACTCAAGGCTCATCCTCCTGGGTCAATGCTCCATCTTCCAGGTCCACTGGGGTGACCCCATGCTCTTGGCCCATGGTGGTCAGAGCCCCCACAGCCTCCTCATCCTTGGCTCTGATCTCAAAGTCACCCTTCCTTCATTGTGTCTGGTCTCCTTCCCCTTCCATCCAACCTGGCATTGTTTCTGCTGTTTTATAATTCACAAAAGCCTTGTCAGCTTCCCATGAAATTCATCGGGGTTCGAGTCATCAGACAAGAGAGCCCTGTACAGTTATATCCTCAATAACCTCATCTCTACTCCTGGTTTCTGCTGAGATGTTTGATTGGATCCATAAGTCATGATTCCAATCTCTTTAACAAATTATTGCCCAGACACATCCTTGGCCTTGTTTCCAGAGCACACAATTGGACAGGCTGAGAATTTGCCAGCTGTTCAAGTTGTGGGTCCTGTTTACTGAACACTTTCTTCTTCAACTGATCTCTCTCCTCTCACATTTTACTATAAGCAGTTGGGAGAAATCAGGTTGTGCCTTCAACACTTTTCTTAGAAATATCCTCAGCTAAACATCCAAGTTCATCACTTGTAAGTCCTACTTACCATAAAAAGAATGTGATTCAGCAAAGTCCTTTGCCACTATAACAAAGGTCACCTTTCCTCAAATTTTCAATAACATGTTGCCTTACCAGAGGCATCTTTAACATTCACGTTTCTAGCAACATTCTGTTTGTGACAATTTATGTATTCTCTAAGATGACAGACGTTTTCTCTATAGCTCTCCTCTTTCTTTCTGAGCCCCTACCAGGATCACCTTTAATGTCCAAATCTCTACCAATAGTCTTCAAGGAAACCTAGGCTTTTTCTAACATGCATCTCAAAACTCTTCTCACCTCTACACATTACCCTATCCCAAATTCATTTCCACAGTTTTAGGTATCGATTAAATCAGCACCCCACTTCTAAAGCCAAATCTGTTTTAGTTTCTTTTGAGCAATTGTAACAAAGTACCACAACTGCATGGCTGAAACAACAGAAATGTATTCTCTCTCATTTCTGGAGGCCAGGTGTCTGAGATCAAGCTGTGGGCAGGGTTGGTTCCTCCGGGTTGGCAAGGAGAACCTGTTCCAGGCTTCTGTCCTGAATTGTGTTGGCTTGCTGGGAAACGTTGGTGTTCCTTGGCTTTTGGAAACAGCTCCTCCATCTCCACCTTTACCTTCATTTGGCATTCTGCCTGTGTGCATGTCTGTCTAAGTTTCCCCTTTGCATAAGGACACCAGCCATATTGGATCAGAGGCTCACCTGCCTCCAGCGTGACCTCATCTTAACTTGATTGCATCTGCAAAAGTCTACTTCCAAAGAAGGGCACATTCTGAGGCCCTACAGGTCAAAGCTTCAACACATCCATTTATTTGAAGACACAACTCAACCCAAAACAAGACCCATCCTTAGGGTCTCACCAGTGGTGCTGTAGAGGGAGGCCTGGCAGGGCTGACATCCCAGAACCTCAGGGAAAAGTGAAAATAGCACAGAGAAGTCCAAGAGGCGGCTCAAGGAAGGGAATTAGGAAGGGAGTTTTGAGGTGCATGTTAGAAAAAGTCTAGGTTTCCTTGAAGACTATTGGTAGAAATTTGGACATTAAAGGTGATCCTGGTGGGGGCTTAGAAAGAAAGAGGAGAGCTAAAGAGAAAACGTCTGTCATCTTAGAGAATACATAAATTGTCATAAACAGAATGTTGCTAGAAATGTGAATGTTAAAGATGCCTCTGGTAAGGCCCCAGAGGTGGAAGATTCTGTTCAGGTGGAAGACTCTGAGGTGGGCCATGAATACTGCCTAGGATGTGGAGGGTTGACAATGGGTTGACAATCCTGCTCAGAAAATCCCAGGAAAAAGGATGTAAATGGGGACAAGAGGAGGGTCATCCAGTGTTTGGGAAAGCAGGGCGGCAGGTTCTGCCCCAAGGGAGAAGGGAAGGAGGATGGGGCCACCGCCACACCGGATGACCTTGTGTACCAGGCTGAAGAACGGGAACAACTGGCCCCACCTGAGCAGTGACAGTCGGTGTGGTGGTGGGAAGACGTGGGTGGAGCCAGGGGGTGAGTAGAAGGTTAGACTAAGACGGAGCACCTGGGCCCACCAGGGACCCAGGCAAGAACTCTGCACTTGCTCAGCTGCCCTGGGTACCCAGGTCTCCAGGAAAGTGAGGCTGAGAGCCAAGCCCAGCAGGCAGCCACACATTCTGGGACCTGCCACCCTACAGCCTGCTGTCCATGAATAGCACCCCTTACAAGGGGCCAGGCCAGCTCACGGGTCTGTCCCAGGCAGCAGAGCCCCTGGGGCCGGGCATTAGGGAGAGAAGGATCCAATCCCACCAGCTCCTCTGGAGCCACTCAGAGGACCAGACGCATGGCCCCTGCGGAGCAGCTGAGGACCCACGGCTGGAGGCCTGGGCAGGGGGGCCACACAGCCCTAGGCCCATTACTCCCAGGCTTGAGGGCCCCTCCTCCCATCAGGGGCCCAAGGGAAGTGGTTCCCAGATAGACTAGGGGTAGCAGGGAAGGTGGAGGTCCCAGGAATGCCCAGAGGGGTACCAAAGCCTCTGAAAGGAAGACCTCTCCCTTCCAAGGGCTCTCAGCAACAGCAGCCCAGTGTCCGCAAAGCCACGGGTCCCACTCAGTTACGCTGATAGGAGCAGCAGTCGGGACATTTGCGTGCACAGGCCACCTGGCCAGCCCTGCTCAACCTGGGAACTCCTCCTGGACCCCTTCTCTCTGGCTCCCCTGTCATTCTGCTGCCAGGGACCTCTGCCCTGCCCTGCCCCTTGTCCTCAGAGCCTCCAACCTCAGACTCCCACTGTGTCTGTCTTCCAGCATCCACCAAGGCTCCGGATGTGTTCCCCATCACATCAGCGTGCCAACTCCCAAAGGATAACAGCCCTGTGGTCCTGGCATGCTTGATAACTGGGTACAACCCAAAGTCCGTGACTGTCACCTGGCACCTGGGGACACAGATCCAGAACCAGATTATGTTCCCTGAGACAGAGAGAGAGGGCAGCTACACGACAAGCAGCCAGCTCGCCCCCACCCCACCCCTCTCCCAACAGCACCAAGGCGAGTACAAATGCACCGTCAAGCACATCCCCAGCGATACAAACAAGGCGAAGACCTTCCGCTGGCCAGGTGGGTAGCACCGGAGATCACCTAGAAGGGTCCCCCAGGATCCCCAGCACCTTCCACTCAGGGCCCGACCACAAAGACAGAAGCAAGGGCTGGGCTGTGAGGCAACCCCCACCTCTCCCCTCGGGGTACATCCTTCCCCACTTACCCTGTATCCACCCCACTGGACCTCCCCTTCCCTCTCCCTCAGCCCCTCCGCTCCCTCTCTCTGCAGCCCCATCTCCCAACATTCAGATCCCTTTCCTTCCAGACCTTTCCCCCAGTATGCACGGAGGCAGCTTGCCCAGCAAAGGTGGCTGTCGAGTGGGCTTCCCACAGCCAAGCTCGCACCCCATGCTGTGGCCCCTCCCTTCTGCCTGCCTGGCTCCCTGTGCCCCCACCTACCTGTCCACAACCCAGCCTCTGGTACATCCATGCCCTCTGCCCTCACCCTCACCTGCACTGTTTCTTGGATTTCAGAGTCTCCAAAGGCACAGTACCCCTCAGTGCCCACTGTACAGCCCCAAGCAGAGGGCGGCCTCTCCAAGGCAACCAGACCCCCGGCCACCAACAGGAACACAGGTGAGAAGCCCTTTCCCTGCACCCCACCCCCACTTACCTGCTCATTCCTCAGCTGCCTCCTGCAGGCAGCCCTTCATAACTCCTTGTCTGAGTCTCCAAGTCACACTTTGGGTAAGGAAAGGGACATTGAACTGACCTCTAACAAACACCTACAGCCAGCCAGTCTGCGGGACAGCAGATGCCAAACAGCCAGCAGACTCCCAGAGCAGACCTGAGCCGGCTCCCTGGCCCATGGACCCAGCTCTGCCTCGCTGGGCTGAGGCATGGGCTCTTAGTGCAGCCTCACATAGAGCCACCCTGCCGAGGCAGTCTGGCTCGCAGACTCACAGGTGACTTGGGCTGCAGCAGCCCCTCCCCGTGACCCTCACCTCCTGCCTGCCCCAGGCCTGGCTCTCTGCAAGTGTTGGGTCCTGATGGCCAGCCTGCTTCTCACCCTCACCCTGCCTGCCACTTCAGAATGGCAAAGGAAAGAGGGTCCTCACCAGGAACTTTATCTGAGAAGTCTGAGGCTTGTGACTCTGACCCACCTGAGATGTCCATGTGGCTTGGGGGACGGGTTCAGTGTTCGGGAGAACCCAGGTACGTGCCTGACCTTCTCTGAGTAGGGCAGGAGGCTGTTAGGAGAAGCAGCAGTAGGTGGGCTGGACCAACAGGCAGAATGACTATCCCTCACCCACCCTCTGGGGTGTGGGTCAAGCTCTGACAAGGGCATGGCACAGCCATGGTGGCCCCTGCCTGGATGAGTGGCCACAGTGCCCTCACCCTGAGCAAGAATCTGCCTCCACTCTGCAGGTGCAGAAACACGACATTCCCATCTCTAAACATACCTAGCTCCCAGGCTTGGGGTGGGTCAATTGCATGCAGGGAGATGGACACAGCACAGGGGCCAGAGCTTCCCGTGAGAAAGGTGAGGGCAGCTGCTCCCTGACCCAGGCATCTGCACTTGTTCCTCTCCACCCTCCTCATGGGCAGTGGAGACTCAGCAACAAAACAAGCTGAGTGCGTTGGCGACCAGCTCTGGAGCCAAGTCACTCACCCCACTGCCTTGTCTGCTGTTGGAGGGGCCTTCCCCTGGGCAGCCTTCAAGAAGACGGCCAAGTGCTCTTACTCAGACCACAGTGCTACTTCCTGGCACCTCAATGTCCCACAACAATACGGGGTGCAGACAGGCGAGGGCTTCCTGCCCTGGGGCCTGGAGAGCATCCAGTTAAAGATGACCCTTCATAGGTGGCCTGAGACGTGCTGACCTCAGCAGCTGAGCCCTCAGGTCTGGTCTGCACTGCCCCACCTGGAGGACCCAATTGACCCAGACACAGCCAGGGTTATGGCATGACCCCGTGGACAGTGACCCACAGGCCAGATACAGCCAGGGCCTGTTTTGTGTGGCCTAGAAATGTCTTTATTTTAGTGGGATGGAGGAGGAAGAGAAAGAGAGGAGGGAGAGAGAAAAACAGGGAAGAGGAAGAAGAGGAGTTCAATGCAGTCTCTACCAAAATTTCAATGACATTCTTCACAGAAGTGGAAAAGACCACCCTAACGCACATATGTAGCCACAGAAGACCCCAAAAGCCAAAACAATTTTGAGCAGAAAGAACAATGCAGGAAAAATCCCAGTACCTGAATTCAAAACATACTGTAAAGCAGTTGTAATCAAAACAGGATGGTACATCATAAAAACAGACACACAGACCCATGGAACACACAAGCGAGCCAAGAAATAAATCTACATGTTTGCAGTCCATTGATTTTCAACAAAGGCACCAGGAAAACACAATGCGGAGAGGACAGTTTCCTCAATAAATAGTGCTGTTCGGGAAACTGGATATCCATGTGCAGACCACTGAAACTACACAAAAATCAATTGAAAACAGTCTAGGCTGGTGGCTCACGCCTGTAACCCCAGCACTTTGGGAGGCCGAGGCAAGGCGCATCACCTGAGGTCAGGAGTTTGAGACCAGCTTGGCCAACATGGCAAAACCCTGTCTCTACTAAAAATACAAAATTTAGCACATGGTGGCCCACACCTGTTATCCCAACTTTTTGGGAAGCTGAGGCAGGAGAATCACTTGAATCCAGGAGGTAGAGGTTGCAGGGAGCCAAGATTGTGCCACTGCATTTCAGCCTGGACAACAGAGTGAGACTGTGTCTCAAAAAGAAAAAAAAAAGAAAAAGAAAACAGTCTAAAGGTTTAACTGAACAGATAAAGCTACTAGAAGAAAACATAGGGAGAAAACTCCATGACATTAGTTTGAGCAACAATTTTTCAGTATGATCCCAAAAGCTCAGGCAGCCGAAGCAAAAATACACAAATGGGATTACGTCAAACTTCAAAGCTTCTGCACAGCAGAGGGAACAATCAACAGTGAAGAGACAACCTATGGAATGGGAGAAAATTCTTTGCAAACCCTACAACTGAGAAAGAACTAATATCCAAAATGTATAAGGAACTCAACAACTCAGTACTAAGAAAACAAATAACTCAATTTAAAAATGGGTGAAGTATCTCAGTAGACATTTATGAAAAGAAGACCTTAATGGCCAATACATGCACGAAAAAGTGCTCAACCTCACTAACCCTCAGAGGAATTAAGATTAAAACCATAACGAGATATCATTTCATAGCTGTTAGGATTCCTATCACCAAAAAGACAGAACTTAACATATGTTCGTGGGGCTGTGGAGGAAAGGAACCCTGGTGCACTATTGGTGGGAATGTAATTAGTAGGGCCATCTTGGAAAACAGTATGGAGCTTCCTCAGAAAACAAAACATGGAAGTACCGTCCCACCTGGTAATCCCACTGCTGGCGACAGAGCCAAAGGGCAAGAAGTCACTATTTAGAAGAGACATCTGCATTCATGCTCATGGCAGCACCAGTAACAAAAGCCAAGATATGGAACCAACCTAAGCACCCTCAGCATATGCACGGGTAAAGAAAATGTGGTATATATGGGGCGCAATGGAATACTACTCAGCCTTTAAATTTTTAAAGAGTGAAATTCTGTCATCGGCAACAATGTAGATGAACCTGAAGGGCATTTAGGCTAAGCGAAATAAGCCAGGCACAGAAAGAGCAATACTGCATGATTGCACTTACATTTGGAATGCTAAAAAGGCAAATTCTTAGAGGCAGAGAGTAGAGAGGTGGGTGCCAGGGAGCAGGCACTGGTGACTGCGGAGATGTTGGTCAAAGGGCACAAAACTTCAGTTGGGAGGAATTAGTTCAGGACATTCCTTGTACATGGGGACTGTAGTTAGTAACAATGGATTGTATTCTTGAAAACCACTAAGAAAATAGATTTTAAGTGTTCTTGCCACAAAAAGTGACAAGTATGTGAGATGATGTATGGTCATTAGCTTGATTTAGCCATGCCACAATGTACACATATTTCAAACATTGTGTTGTACATGATAAACATATATAATTTTTGTCAATTAAAAATTTTTAGGAAGAAGAGAAAAGGAGGACGAGGAGGAGAAAGAACAACAAGAGGGAGAGACAAAGACCCCAGGTTTTTTCTGACCCCTGGGTTGTCAAAACACCTATGACCCAATAACTAGTTGGCCGTTGGCACCCTAAACTATAGAAGTGATTGCTGTTGTGTGGATGGGCCCTGGACACTTAGAAGCTCATGACCCCTGAGGACCCCCACGAGGACAGTCAGAGTCCCCCTGAACTCAGGGAGCACTGAGGAAGGAGCTCTTAGAAGCGTGGGGCCTCTCAAGCCCCTCAGAGGGCTCTGCCACATGGGTCGGGGGCAGGCTGAGGAGTCCCAGGCTCCATGGGCAGCCTCTGTGCCTCTGACCAGGGTGTCCCCCACACTGCCACCTCCCCAGTGCCCTCCACTAGCCACACCTGGCCAGAAGCTGGGGGGAGGAGAGCCCAGTGGTTAAGTCAGTCCCTGCAGGGAGACGGCACCAGAAAAAAACCCGGCCTGTGGATGAGTCCCGGCCTGGCAGCCACAGAGCAGAGAGCTCTGGAAGCAACGAAGCCCCAAGTCTGCTCAGGGAAGAGCCGGCAGCAGCCTTGGGGCCAGACAGTGACCAAGAGTGCACCGCCCATGGCCCAACGGGTCTTTGCCCATGGACCCCCCAGCTCCTGGAGACAGGGTCGGTGCACCTGGCCATGCAGGCAGGCCCCACACTCATGGGGAGGCTGCTGTGGAGCTCTGTGCAGCGCCCGGGGCGGGAGCCAGCTGCTCTCGAGGGTCCAGCCACAGCTGTTCTCCTTTGGTCTCCCCCGCAGAGTGTCCAAGCCACACCCAGCCTCTCGGCGTCTACCTGCTGCCCCCGGCCCTGCAGGACCTGTGGTTCCGAGACAAAGCCACCTTCACCTGCTTCGTGGTGGGCAGTGACCTGCAGGATGCCCACCTGTCCTGGGAGGTGGCCGGGAAGGTCCCCAAAGGGGGCATGGAGGAGGGACCGCTGGAGCAGCACAGCAACGGCTCCCAGAGCCAGCACAGCCGCCTGGCCCTACCCAGGTCCTTGTGGAATGCGGGGACCTCCGTCACCTGCACACTGAACCATCCCAGCCTCCCATCCCAGAAGCTGATGGCGCTGAGAGAACCCGGTGAGGCCGGCTCCCAGGTGGGGAGATGAGGGTGCCCGCAGCCTGCCGACCCCCACGCCTGCCCCAGGGCCACGACCCCAGCTGGGCCCCAGCAGCACCCATCATCTTTCACAGGAAAGGAGAAGGGAGGCACCAGCACCCTGGCCGGCCCCGCTTCTCTCCCAGTGCCCCCTGTGGCCTGAGCCCGACAGCCTCCCCCG